GCGTAAAGGTACTTATGGTACACTAGTCAGGGAAGGTAGATCGTCTACGCTCGTCGACACGCGTCCTATGTTTCCACACCTATCTCTACGAGTTCTTGTGCGTGAATACATAAAGATATGCATATAACTTATATAGTCGTTTTTCGTATAAATCAACGATCATCGGCACCTCGCATTATCAATTGAAATTACATCGGGAGATGGTGAAATTTCGTAATAAAATATCTACTTTCACGATGATTACATTTTAAGTGATTTTCAATTGGAAAAAGGTATTTAATTTCATTTTCACACATACTTATATGTACATGTAATGTTTATGATTACGTGTGATAACTTGTTGAATTATAGTAAATTTGTATTACGAGTGAGATAATCTAATGTAAGCTGTACTTAAAGGTTTTCTTTACTTCCTTTTAAGTTCGATAAATTTGTAAGATCAAGTTCGGTGAACTCTTTTCATCTATAATTTCTATCGATTAGATCGATTTCTGTTTTTTCAAAGAAGCATAGAAACGTTAAAAGTAGAACACTTGGTCGCCGTTTTTCGCCGAAGGCGACTAATTACACGACCCAAGAAAAAAGTTGGCACGACAGGATCCGAATAAAGTGGAACAAGGTGTTGTATATACATATAGGTATGTAATATCCCATGATTATCGGAGGATGCGTCGTTTGACCCCCATAAATGCTTTTATCCATTAACTTGACGCTTATTCGAGAGCGATGCGAATCGACGATTGTGCACCACCATGAATAATTTATTCTTTCGTCAATGCGTAACTTCAATTCTGAATGGAGATGCATAATACATATAGCAGAACGTTCGGAGTCCGGTTTGGCCGGACGGGAGTGATCGAAAGAGAACTACGTTGGAATTGAGGAAAATAACGGTCATATAAGTCATTAAGAATAATTATGCTTTGCAGATTATAACATTCTTTTACAATCTGCTAATCAATTTGAACGTATCCATTCTTTTAATCTGGCAATATAAACCTGTTCGAAATTTGAATTTATAAGAATTTAGGAAAAAAAGTAGGCTCATTGAAAAATAAATTTTTAGATATATTAAAGACATATCAAAATAAATGTTCATATCGTGGGAGTAGGCATATACCTTATTGGTTAAATCTAACGGTCGATGTCAAAGCAGATTATACATCGACGACTCGAGGGAATAGAAATAGTAGATAAAGATGAGGACGAAGAGATTTAAGGGAAAAAAAAGTAGAAAAAAGAAGGAAGAGCCGAGCAACGGTATCGTTAGAGTTTAAACCAAAACTCAATGAAAATCCGATGGTAGAGAACTCGATCGTTCCCTACTTTTTCCTTCCGCTCACAGAAGCTAAGGTCAGGGCTTGTACATACATACGTAGAACTCGTGTACTAGAATCGTATGGATATCGATCCGGAGCAGGTGATACAACGAGTTTCTTCTTCCTACGTTCTATCTACGTGTATTGCTTGTAGTCTCCTGACAACCGCAATTACGGTGCTCTACAGTTAGGGTCACTAAAAAAGGCTGTCGGGCTCTTGGGTCTCGTCGGTCCAGTTTCTAAGTGTTAGTGATCTAACGCGAATGCATCTCACGTCCTTTCTACATGATAGAAAGAAAAAGATAGTTCAAGAAGAAGAAAAAGAAGAAGATAGAGGAGAAAGAAGAGAGGGGAAAGAAACGTCGGCAACTTGTTCCTCTCTTTCTCTCCTCTCTTTCTTCTATACGGCTGCGTGCCTACGCCCAGTAAGGCTAAGTCCTTACACACAGTATCGCATACCGTTATATTATTTATACCGGAGGCATATATTTTGCCTACGCGAAAGCCCTCCTCCTCATCCTCATCCTCATCCTCCTCTTTCTCTTCTCATTCTCCTTTTGCACGCGAGAGAACTTGCCTTAACCTCGATTCATTATTGAGCTTGGCTCCAAGACTTTCCAAAAGGATTACACATTCCCTCCGATCGATGACATAATGATGAGAAATTACCTATAGACTCTTCTATTTATTCAAGTAATTTCTCTTGTGATGGATATTCCGAGAAAAATTAATTGTCCTGACGATCCTATGAGACATTGATAACTATTCCTTTTTTCGAGTATCGAAACGTTCATATTTATTGTGAATAATAATTTAACAAGTATAGGATGATAAAGGTATACTTTCGTAGGAATATAAACTTTTTTATATCTATAAAAGAAGATTAACATCGATTAAAAAGAGAACATCATACTTTTATGATATTCAGTTGGTATATCAAATATTAGTCTGGATAATAAAAGCGACGATAAATAATAACACGGCTAATTTGTTTATCTTGATCAACAATTGGATTATATGGTCTTTAGATCCGGTTTCGAATATGTAAAAGAAGGATTTTCCTTTGTTTTTTTTATTTTTTTATTTACGTAACACGAGTAGTAATGGACAGTTAAAAATTGACGTCATAAATTACTATAACGTGCGAAAAATAAATTTCTAGTAATGGAATCGTGACAGGATCGTGAAAGGATTAGACTCGTATACTTTACGTATCTCTAAGTTCGTCGGGTTCTTTACGAGCTTGCCGCGCCTTGTTAAAAGCCCTTTGTCGCGCGCCACCGACGTTTAATTATAGCGATCTGTTTTATCGACGCGTATTTTTTTTTCTTACTATACGCGTCTGCTTGATTTTTCTTTTCTCCCGTCTATCCTCGATAATTGCAATTTCCGTTTAACGACGTCCTAGCTCGTACTAATAGGAATGCTAAGAGATTGCTGTCGCACGTATCGAGTTCCAAGATATAAATAATAAAACGTATAGTATATTGGGAGTACAAATTAATTCGGTTCGTTTTTAAGAGATGGCTCTAAAAACATTAAATTTTTAAATAGTTACACCTGATTGCTTTGTTTTTAGACAGATTGGACATCTGCCGATAACATCCAGTTTGTATTGTTTTGAATTTCATACAAAATGTTTTTTGTTACGCTGTTGAAAATGTCAGATTTTTTATAACTAAACAGCATTTGCGGGAAGTTTTTAATTGAAAAAAAAAAGTGCAGCTGAAGCTCATCGTATGCTTGTGGAAGTTACAGTGACAATGCTCCAACTGACAAGTCAGGAATACGATGGCTATATAAAGTTATTCATAATTTACATTAAATGCAAAGCGAAATAGCGATATTCATCAAGTTACTGTCTTAAGTTCTATTAATTAATTAAAATCGTAAATAGTCATATAGAAAATAATAAATATTTGTAATTATATACATAATAGTGTCACATCCAGAGTACGTTTTGTTTTTCCTTTCTTTTTTTTATTGGCTACACTTAATATTTTTTTCATTGAAGATTAACCCTACACTACATAAAAAAGGCTCATGTGTAATGACCCAATGTCTATTTTACGATCTTTACAAATCCTTATTTTTTATTACCAATTTATATAAGCACTTAGAAAAATGTTTTGGATTTATGAAATTTTTTCGTAAACTGCTGGGGTAAAGAAGAATCAGTGAATGGCGCTGCGAGCGCTACCTTTTAAGGCGGGTTCTTAACACGCAAGCTGATTGGACTAAATCAGGAAGTGTTCAACGTATATAAAATTCAATACAACGTGAGCCTTTTACTTCGATGTGCCTAATATCTTGTAGTAATATAGCCATAATCATATTAGGAAATTATAATTGTTTTTTGAAATATTTTGATAATATCATTCATTAGTGTTTTATTTAGTATATGAAATAATTATGGATTAATCTTGACAGTGTAAATTCATGGTATTTATAGTTTCTGCTGATAACTTGTATATTATCAAAATGGCGTCAGCCGAACAGGTCGGTCTTAACAAAACTTGGGAATTATCACTTTATGAATTACATCGGACGCCTCAGGATGCAATTACTGACAGTACTGAGATCGCGGTTAGTCCGCGAAGCTTACACAGTGAACTTATGTGCCCAATTTGTTTGGATATGCTTAAAAAGACCATGACTACCAAGGAGTGCCTCCATCGTTTTTGTTCCGATTGCATTATTACTGCACTTCGAAGCGGTAACAAGGTATATACTTATTATTTAATCCTTAGAATCTTTAAGTTATTGTTCATTTTGTTGTTTGCACAATCGTTCTATTTGTTCTCTTACTCTTATTAAACTTTTGTCTGTATTGTTCTGATTATTAAAGATTTAACAATGTAAACACGTGATTGTTAGATGAAGAAAGTTCGTTCAATTAACATAGACATTAATTTTATTTTTGAAATATAATGTTAGGATTGGAGGAATATATAAATTTATCTATTTAGAAAATATTTAACGTTATTTGTTGGATAAACTGCTAAGTATATCTTTTTATGTGTAGTTATTTATATGTACTGTACTCGTATTGTTTATTTATAGGAATGTCCAACTTGTAGAAAAAAATTAGTTTCTAAACGTTCCTTGAGACCAGATCCAAACTTTGATTTGTTAATTTCAAAAATATATCCCAGCAGAGATGAATATGAAGCACATCAAGAAAGAGTTTTAGCTAAATTAAACAAATCACATTCCCAGGCTGCCTTAGTAAACTCTATTACAGAAGGTATCAAGTTACAAAGTCAAAATCGACCACAACGTTCAAGAAAAAACGCAAATGAATCTGAAAATACAAGTAATGCGACTTCGTATAATAATACCCCAAATGTTAGTGCACCCACAACGCCAAATCCTTCTACAAATGCTGCAAATCAAAGTGATTCTTCGCAAAGTGCTACAGGACCACTAATTACTAATAATGGTGGAGCTAGTAATAGTTCGCAGAATTCTACAAATATTTCTCAACCTGCAAGTAGTCCTGCGGTTTCAGGTAATATAACTTATTTTGTTTATTACCGTACAAGTAGGATATATTTATATAAAATACATGATGTAACAAGAATGTTCAATATTTTTAGGAACTACATCTAGAAATTCTACAACACCTTCACCAAATCCAACGAACCAAATTCCAAAGCCACCAAAACGACAAAAAAGTCTCCAAAACTCAGAGAACGATTCTTCTAGTGCGGAGGCAGAAACAGGCGGTGGTGATTCTATGGTTGATACGGAAGGAGAGGGTCCTAGTGAACCTTTGATGCTTAATGAGATCGAACTTGTTTTCAAACCTCATCCAACAGAAATGACTGGAGACAATTCATTAATAAAAGCGTTAAAGGAGAATAGCATTCGATATATAAAAACTACAGCAAATGCAACAGGTGATAATCTTATTAAGAAAATCATCTTAAACGATTTATTTTAACAAAATAATAATAATTTAATTTTTTTACAGTTGATCATCTTAGTAAATATTTAGCAATGCGGTTAACTTTGGACCTCGACACAGAATTATCAGATTCAGATAGGTTAGTGAATTTTTGTATTTATATAGCACCTTCGCCAGGACAGCTCGTCGTATTGAGCGGATCACAAACATTACGACAAGTGAATGACAAATTCTGGCGAGTCAACAGACCATTGGAAATGTACTATTCGTGGAAAAAAACCTAGGGAAGGCCTCAAAAATATCAATCAGATGGGGGCTAGTTGTATCATGCTCCAAATCAAAATTAAAACCTAGTTATCAAGGGAATTATGTAGGACTGTTGTGAAAGAAAACACCTGATGTATTTTATTATATTTAGTTATATTATATAACAGCTTTGATACAACTTAAGGGAAAGGTAGAACACGAAAAGTGGTATCTTCGTGTTTTTTTGACAGTGCAATTTTTAAGATATTTTCAAATGGTTCTTAATGGTTATGCTATACGAGTTTTTGTACGAGAGATTGTTATGGCAACATATTTTTAAGTGATAGAATTAAATTAGTACATTGACGACGATGATTAGATAAAAGAAAAGGATGAGTGCATCGCTAGTTGATGGTCATTGTTTTATATTTCTACAAGTAGTACTTGTAGGATTCTAATCTTGATATATTTGAAAAGGTATTACTTATGCCACATGTCATATACATTTCTATACTTGAGCAACGTCAATGATTAATTAACTTATTTCATAAGCGATGAACGAATTGCTGTGGACCATTATGTACAGTTTTGTGAAGAAAAAGAAAACTAAATAAATCGATGTATATAAGCGAGAGTGATGAAAATCTTTTAAGTTATTATGGTCTGTTTTATAAGTTGATTAAATTTTTTGTTATTTTATTTGGTATAATATATTTAATAAAAAGATGCATTGTGCAATATTTTTCCCAAATAACATTATCTTATCCTATTTAGAATAATCTATATAGGGGAATGTGAATGTTTAGTTAGTCTACTCTAAGGTGTTGGAGCTTACACTTTTTGTGAGTCAGACGTGATAATCGAAAATCACATTTCCGGTCTCGTTAAAGATACATAGAAACCGTCTTTGCCATGGAAAGGCAGAGTAATCGATAAGAGAACCCTACAACGCACCCCTGCGTTTGTCGCTGAAGCGAAAACAATGCGGATACTACGGTCTTTGATAGTATGCCACCCTCCTTCACAGTCAACGACAAACCAGATTCTGAATTCCTCCTCTTTCTACTTCATGAGAAAACGAAGGGATAATATCAAGAACCTTGGAGAAACATATAACAGGATTCTTTAGTAAGCAATCTCATAAGGATAATTTCGTATAATCTTACGAAAAATCTTCATGTTATTAGATGCTATTTATTTTTTTTATACCTTTTTTAAAGTTATTTAAGCTAACTAAACAAGATTTATATTGTTTGTCTCTTTCATATTTTTGTCCTTTTGATTCGTAAGATTATTGTTCACAATACGAGTAATGATTAATGTTTATGTGATTAATAGTACTTTATTTTTTATTAAATCGCTAAAACTGTACCAGGTAATCTTTACTATTCTATATTATAAGGTAAGATCATAAAGGTTTACACCGTAGGAAATTCGAGATCATCTATCTTTTTCAGGATAATTGTCCTCTGCTTATCGTATGACAATAAACTTTAAATCATATTCACTGACGGAAGTATTAAAAAATTCGAAATTTCCGGTCGTATTTAAGTATGCTCTTTGTTTTAACTGTCTACAATCGGCTCGATTTTCACATTCTTAGATAGTTCTATTTGAATTAATTAAAGAATGCAGTGGCATGGCCGCGCGGTGAGCCTAATCTAATTACAGGGTATAAAGCAAAGTAATACCGCCGTATAATGACTTCTTCTAATTAGCGCTTGAAATGTATTCCAAGATTAATAAGATCTTTCTGCTGTATGCGCGGTCTAGAAACAATGATTAATGTTCTTCATGCGAAAACTAATTGGTTTAAGTATTATACGAAAGTAGGTCCTATAAGAATATCTTATTAGAAAAAATATTTTTCCTATTTTGATAGTTTTTCAATTTTTTTTTTTTTATAAATTAAAACAATTCTATTATAGTATATTATAAAATTTCAGTTTTCAAGATTCCGAATGAGAAAACAATTCATCGGAGCAATTAGGTTTACATTGGATTGTAGGAACGAAACTGTGATCAATTCGATGATTTATCACGTTCTTACGAGATTTTTAATTTACGATAGGATATTACGGACGTGATTTGCGATCAAATTAATGTTTAGATTTGAAATAATTAAGAATCGAATCATCGAACGGAAAGCGCAGTATCAACGTTTTCGTAATCTTTATCTTCGTTCTCGTTCTCGTCCTCTTCATCCGATAATAATATCGTCGAATGGTTTTCGTCATCATTTTCGTCATACGAAACAGAACTTTTGGTGGAATTCTCGTCGATAGACGAATGATTGAATGATCGATTCGTTAAAGATTCAGCCGTATTTCTTTTATCTTCTTCTGTTATTTCGAAATTGACGTCAATTTCATCCTCGGAAGTTGAAAATTCTTCTTTGTAATTTTCTGATTGTACATTTGAATTTATACTCATTTTGGCATATTTTTCTTTAAGAAGCTGATACTCTCTTTTTGCTGTGATTCTATAACAGAAATGTTGATTTAGAAATGATTAAAATTTTGCAATGATTATATCATAGAAAATATAAATATTTATGTTCTATCGAAAATTGATTGGGAAAGTATGACGTGAACGAAAAGAAGTGAAAAAAAAATAGAAAAAAGGGAAAGAAAATCGATGCTTGTAATATTAAAGATTCTATTACGGTACTCTTCTTGGTCCGGTTTCTTCGTTAACGCAGAAAGAGAAGAGCTTACTACAAGATAAAGTAGGGTCAAGACCGCTTTGATTATACTCACGGCATTTTGTAAGGGTCCTTGTACCAAAGCGGATATCCCGTGGGGTTTTGTCTTCCATCGGGGATAGAATTTTCGGATGGTAGTGGGTTCACTCGGAAATTTGCTGGCTCAACCGTCTCTTCTAAAAGAGCAGAAACTTGTCTTGCGTATTCCTCAGTACCGGCTGACCTTTCTAATCTAATAAATAATGAAATATATTAATGCATTATGCTCTTTACATTTATTTTTATAATAGGACAGATCAATGTAATTAACTGTAATAATGTTATTTTTTATCTATTAACTTATGAAACATTTGTCTCGTAAATTCTGATTTTGTCGATGCTTTTAAATCAACATTTTTAACACCATGATCTCCGTTATTAGTTTTTCTAATTGTATTTTCTGTAATTCCATAAAAATTTCCAAAATGTACTGCTGCATCTCGTGGAACTTTTAAAGGAGATAGTTTAGGGCTATTAGATTTCACATTTCCAGTCAGTGTCGTTCTTTTTGAAGGATTGGATTTTGTAGATTTTTTTATATTCCTTGAAAGATAAAGTAAAAGGATTATTAGCAGGTTTAAAATGTTCATATTTTTTTTAATGATTAATTTGATGAACGCTTTATACTTTCGATCTTTCTACGATTATTCTATTTATCATTCTTACACGTAACGTTACGAAATTAGTATGCTACAATTATAAAATCATTATTATCGAAATAAATACGTAAGCGTAAGTTTATGTGAGAAAGGAGAATGATGTTCATCATGCTAGAAGAAACGTTCAAATTCCACCACAAGATGATTTCTAATATTACGATGTACATAAAAACCTTGCTTTATGGCTGAAAATAATATACGAATAGGCATTAATGTAAAAAAATAGGAAGACATATGAGTATTTTACGGCCTAAGTGGATATTGTAAAATCGTAGGACTGATAAATAAACCGTTTTCTGTACGTAGAATTATTTACACGACACTTTGACGGATAGTTAATGACCTGCCTCTTAGAAAGTCAACGAGGGCCAACGACTTTACCATGAATACCAATAGCCACAGTCTTACTTGACTTTGGTTTCTTTTACACGATATTACTTAAATTAACGTTTGCTCTCGACGATGTTATTTAATTTAAGAAAAAGAAGAGAAAAAAGAAAACGTTTTATTATTGTCTTAAAAAACAATATAGAATATAGATCTTTACCTTTCACTTTTATTTGGAATGAGAAATATTTCAAAAGTTTTCAAATTGTCGGACTTGAGAGATTTCTTGCTAATACTTCGAGTGATTTTTGTTACAGAATTGATTTTAGTTTTTTTCTTATTTTTTATAACGATTTTATTTTCATAATATTTTTTTAATTTATGTTCCATCGTCGATGAATTACTTGGAAATTTATTTTTTTGTTTTTTTTTTCCCTATAATATGTATATATATATTTTAAGTTTTTGCGAGATGGTAGATATAAAGTTATTTCATACAAAAATCGATTTAACGAGGTAAAATTTTTCATCGATATAACGAATGAAGTTGGTTTTTTAAAATGAAAACGATTAACCACAAACGTTTTAACGAAATTAATCGATTAGATGGCATATGATCACAACCCATTTTAACGAAATTACATTGGTAAAGAGGGGATACTCGTTTTCACCCTTTCATTTTCATCCACATGTTTTCCCACGATTTTCAATTATCCTTTTCACGTATCATTCTCATTCTCTGTAAATCAGGGAAGACTTTTATTACGAGAATTTGTTTCTAATTAAATTTTTTTTCTTTTACTAAAAAAATAGGGATGTTAAATGATTTATTATAAATATTTTCTTGTGGAATAAAATTTTCAACGAATCGTAGACAATTAATAAATATTTTTAACATTTATTTTAACAAAGTAAAAGATTATTTTATTTTATGTATGTATGTCGTATATATTTTTTATCCAATAAGAATATAAAGTAATAATACAAGAGACAAAAAGAGAAAGAGAATGTTTCGTATGTGAAAAGTTTAGCAAGCGAAATACGAATAAAGGGGGAAGGATATAGTAGTAGGTATATTTTTATTTACGATCGAAGGTGGCTTAGTAGCCGGCGGCTCGAAATCGTTGTGCACCATCTCAACAAAAGCGAGCAAAACGTAAAGCATTTCTTTTTCTCTTCTACGTGATATGCAAATGGATGAATTCTTTCACGTATGTGCACGTGTGTGTGCTACGAAAAAGAAAATAATATAATACTGGCCCACACGAAGCGGATCTACCGAAATTATTTATCGCCCGCTGTGTTGAAGGTTAAGAAAAATTTTTATTTCTTTATTTTGTTCTTTGATATCACCTTTTGTTTAGCTTTTATTTTACGACGAGGGAATTTGGAGTTACAGGCTGTATCCTATTAATATTCGTATAGATATTACTTTGATATTCAATCGCGAATAGATAAAATTATCTTGCGAGTGATAATGAAAATTAATTACAGGGTGGTCAATATTTATTACATCAGTCTGACGCTTTTGGGTTGGTGGTTTTGCGTGAAGGCATCATTAATATTAATGTTGATTTTAACGATTCCTTTTCTCTTTCTCTTCGGTAATAATAAAGTAATAATAATAATAATTTTATTACAAGCGAACATAATTATAGAGTTTCTGATGAAACATACAAAAAAAGTTAGTCTAAAGATGTATTTTTAGTATTTCATGGAATTGATCTGTTCCTATACGTTACTTATTTGTGTTTAGTAATTCGTAAACTGACAGGAATAGATGTAAGATGATTTTTTCTTTGAACTTTAACAGCTGGAAGTTATACCTATTCGCTTTCCTGTTAGTAAAGTTTAATTATTTGATGGAAGCTGCCGACAATCGTGAGTATAAAGTCTTACGAGTAATAAAAGTCGACGGGGGTTTTGAAAAGTGATCAGGCAATCGGTAGTCGGTCTGTGTACTCTAGTAGGACACGAATTTCGTCGAGGGTGGTCCTTTGATCATTCTAGCATTTCTCAGTCGGACACCTTTGTGTATGTGCAAGAGAAATTTTTAAAACAATTCCAAGTCGAAATACACTATGATTGCATTCATACGAGTAAAATTTTTTTCAATTAGCATAATGAAAATGATACGAGCTCTCGATAAAAGTTTAATATTAAAATATATAAAATTTATAATAACAAGAAGAATTCTGAGGATAAAATATCGTTCTATGCTTTTCTAATCCGATTTAATCCGATGCTATGCAATGCGATACGATTCAATGTAATATATATTTATTTTCCATAGGAATAATATTACAGTAGTATATAATATAATTCTTAAGTAATCTTGTAACTATAATGTGTGTAAACGATGAAATATAAAATTCATAGGTTGTTGCATCAAAAAGGAATACTTTCAGATAATTTTCATCTGATTTACTTTGATTGAATAATATATTACCACTATAAATGAAGATTTCAACGCATTGCCAAGAGACATTTGTATTAAAGGTAAGACAAATGTTTAAAATTATATATTCGATTGGATGAGACAAATTTGATTTATTATTATAAATTATTTTCTATAAATTACTCTAATAACGATAGTATTTTGTAATATATCAATCGTATTTTGGCAATGAGCCCATGTAAATTCATCATCTCGAATTGAGGTTGGTTCATCATCTGACAAAACTTTCATGCACTACTAAGCGGAATCGCGAATCGCTGCCAAGTTACAGATACCTTCCAAAGTGAGAATGTCCTTACCATCTGCGAAAGTTAGCAACTGCTGTGACATTCTACCGAAACACGTGGGGTCGATCTTGTAGACATCATAAGGTGCGGAAAGGATCAATAACAATGTCAAATCACGAAAAAAAGGAATATAATTTAGTATTAAATACTTTTTAGCAATCGGAATCATGATCTTTAATTGGTAGATTCTATTAATTCTGTTCATTTTAAAATACTGCTAAGTAAGTTCTATAATGAATAAATCATGAAGAGTTAAGATAGATAATAAATTTTTAATACTATCTAATTATTATTTAATGAATACTAAATATTATCATTATATAAATATACATGAAATTGCTTGTTTAAATAATACAAAATAAAATACAATCATTAGAGTGTAACGATGTTTTATATACTCGAAACTACGATCTTGTACTCTCAATATAAACGCGTATCAAATTATTTTCGTTACGTTCTGATTGATATTTGGAACATTTAACATAGGAAATCAAGTAGTTATTTTTTTTTTTAAACAGATTTTTAACTTTTCGCTATTTCATCGTGTATATTTGAATAGGGTCTATTTACCTTTGATCAGTACTTGCTGTTTGTGTCCGTTATTTCTGATTTGTGTTGTCGATTCTATCGGATCGTTAGGTCAAAGCTATCGGTTCGGATCTCCGATTGAACTAAAGATGTGTAGAAGGAGGAAACTAGGAAGGGTTGGATAGGAGTTAACACACAGATATCGTTGTAGTTAGGTACATGCAGTATAATACATGTTTCTATACGATGCCATGGCATTCCTGACTCGGTCACGGGTTTATATACATATATATATTATACACATAGATACACTTCGTTTTAACGCATATACGGGCACATTGCTATGGGAATTGCTCGGCTGTTCTTTCATACACCGCGAACTACCTCGTATCGTTTGCCAACGACCAGGCAACCTGGCCTCCTTACCTTCGCAAGTCATACTATGTGAAACTAGAGAGACGATTGAAGTTAGATAACAGTTGGGAGTAGAAAGAAAAAAAAAGTTATTGGATTTTTATGCAACCATTGGAAACGCGAGTGCGAATTTCCCTCAACTGGAAGAACCTTTATTTACATTCCTTCCTGAGTTCATAATTTTCTTTTCTTTTTCTTTTTTTTTGTTTGAACGTTATTATTATTATTATTATTATTATTATTAACTGGCATTAGGAACTTGAAAGTTCATTGCCACAAATACCAAATCCCGCCATTGTTCCTATCCCTGAGCGCGATCCTTCCATTCGCGGTCTTCGTATCCTATTTCCTTCAGGTATCTTCTAATATTATCCTTCCATCTACGTCTCGGTCTACCTAGTGTTCTTTTCCCGTTTAGTATACCGACCAATATTTTGTGCGCCGTTCGATCCTCCCCCATGCGCGCCACGTGACCAGCCCATCTTAATCGGCGTGATTTTATGACGTTGATAATGTCCGGTTTGTTGTACAATCGATGTACTTTTTGTTTGAACGTAACTTATTAAATTTATATTGGATTGGAAAGAAAGTATCCGCGGAAATTTACTTTTATTTCAAATTTAAATTTACAAAGAATGAATAAACCGATTTAGGTCAAATATGCGCTGTTTTGTTCGATAACTTGTTGCCATTTTGAAGGTAATTTCATTATGCTTCTCTCATAGAAGCCCTCATCCCTATTGGCAAAAAAGCGAGACAACTAATTTTCACAAGCCTCTTTTGAGGGCAGCTTAGTACTGCCAAGAGCATTTTGCATGGACCGGAWAAGGTGGTAATCACTTGGTGCCAGGTCCGRACTATACGGYKGGTGYSATATAACCTCCCATCCAAGCTCCCGGAGTCTCTGCCGGGTCCTCAAAGATGTGTGCGGTCTAGCGTTGTCCTGATAGAACACAACACCCTTTCTATTCACCAATTCTGGCCGTTTCTGGTCAAGCGCCTGCTTCAATCTGGTCAGTTGTTGACAGTATATGTCCGAATTGAGTGTTTGGTTATAGGGCAGCAGCTCATAGTAGATGATTCCCTTCCAATCCCACCAAACACACAGTAAAACCTTCTTGGCCGTCAATCCGGGCTTGGCCGCCGTTTGGGATGATTCGCCGGCCTTCGACCACGATCTTTTACATTGTCGTATGTGATCCACTTTTCATCACCAATCACTATCCGTTTCAGAAATAGGTCCGTAGACCGTACAAATTTTTCGGCATGTTTTTGCAGCGTTTTTGCCTTTTTTATAGTAATAAAGCATCACATAGCGTATTTCTTCGGAAATTTCACTCATTTTCAATGGAATATAACTTTTGACACGCACGACGAATTGCGAAACTGTCTGCATAAAGAATGTAGCTTGAAATGTCACCTTTCAAATGGCGTATAGTATAACCCGAGAAGAATCATACAAACCGAGATATCGACGCTAGCACCATCTATTGGCAAATTCCGCGGATACTTTCTTTCCAATCCAATAATTCTGTCGCTCATTTCTGTTTTATTTTATTTTTTATTTTTTGTACAGTACTAATTAATAAGTTTTCATATTCATCGAATTTATAATTATTTATAAATATTACGATAAATTTGAATTATTTTATAATGAAACTTAATTTTGGAAGATTTTTAATATGTATAATTGTATTTATGAATGAATAATAATAATATAATATTATTTTTTTTATTTTATGAGATTAAAAGGTAATAAGTTAAAATTTATAAAAAATAAAAACGTTAAATGAAGAAGAAGGTAAGGGTGGGCCAACAGGAGCCTTTTTCTTTTCGAACATCCTTTTCACACATGTTCGGCAGTATTCGATTAAATTCGGTAACATTCGGCGATGCTCGGTGGGGTTCGGTCTTACTCTTAACTCGTGCTCACGGCGCTCGGCTCAGTCGTCGAAGCGCGCTTCTTTCGTAAACATTAGATGTCACGCTTATTGTGTGTTCCTTGTCTTTACTTCTACGAGCACGAATCGAGAGGAAGGATCGTACCTCATTAAGATATCGCTTATCTCTTACCTACTTTATCACAGAAAGGATGTTTGGAACTATGAGGTTAGAAAAAAATAAATATTTTTATCTTTTTTATTTTCAAATTTATATTCAAAAACATTCGTATATTTTTTTTTATGTAATTAATTTTATTATTTAAATAGAAATCACAATGATAAAACATTGTAACATGATTGAAATGTATTATATTCGTTCAATTTATATTCAATATTTTTGATATACTTCAAAAAAAGAGGAATAGGATAATAATCATCTTTTAATGTTTAAAATAACTTATCGTTTAAACAACGAATTTCAACTGTTTATAATTTTAATTTTTTTTTACTTTTGTTCATACTTCGAATAAATTCGAAGATACGAAGAAATGAATGGACCAATTAGTGATGTCTTCATACTCACAGTTATGTATAAAAATAAAATAATCAATTGTAATCATCGTGTGATAGATTGAATTAGTTTATATTGATAATTTTCTGAATTTTATTACACGAAAAGTTAACAAACATTTTCGAATTAGCATAAGAGTAGTAGGGATCGTTTGTAACATTTCTAACGCATTGCAATTACGTTGGAGTTGCGTGTAATGCGAATAAATTGCACTGAACGCTCGAGTAGGATTTCCCTCAGTGCTTTCAATGATTTTCGCTGGAGAACGTTCTCATTCCTCCAGCAACATTATGCCGTTTCGAATGGTTATGCGTTTTAACCAATTTGACATAAATGGCTGCAACTCTATGAACCATGTATTTACTGCATAATTTTACGATTGTATATATATACATGCTCTTTAAGAAGTAAACGACGTATATTACAGTTCATTTGTTGTCTTTTAAACAGAATTGAAAATAACAAACAAATCTTTTATCTACAAATTCATCATTTCTTTACATATTCAAATCGAGAAACAAGTAAATAATGTTACTAATTAAAATTGTCAACAATTTATAAATCGTTTCGATTAACTTTGTTGACTTTTTTTTCCATCAATTCGGTGCGTTTCGCGTAATAGTTCTGATTAAAAATTTTAATAACGATATATTTCAAGCATTAAACTTTACGGTACGTTCTCGCAACTTCATTGTTCCCAACATCAAATATCGAAAGTCGATAATGGTCCTTTAACGTCCATCGTTATCTTCTTTCGTAAGCGAATCCACGCAGAATCCTTCTATGATACTCGCGCTTTGCAGTTAAAAGCTTTACGGATCATTAATTTAATAATCGTTATGGCAAACGTAATAATGATTGTTTATTATTAATCGAATAACACAGATGTTTTCTTAAGAAAGATCATTAGTTACTCGAATAAATCAAATGATTAGCCAATTAAATAGAATATCTCACGTAACACTGATAAATAAGATGTTCTAATACTTTAAAGAAACGATTCATAGGGTGGTTTACATTATAAGAAGAAATAGCATAGACAATTTGTAGAAAGAAAATATATGAAGTTAAATCTTCACATTTTGGAAATATCGATTATTCAAGAAAAAAAGAAATAAATAAATTTTCATTTTATTTAATATAATAAAAAACCTTTGTAAATTTGAACTTTTCAATTAATTATTATTAGGAGTCTCCTTTTAAACGGATAAGATTATATATTTATTTCAAGCATAAAATGAATTTATCGTAAAAAAAGATACAAGATTTCGCGTTTAATTTACCTGTTCCTTTTTAAATCAACACAATTAGTGTTATCAATTTACTATAATAGCTTTGAATGTTAAGAGTAAAGTACTTCTACTCGATGGGATCCACTCGAGTTGTTACTGACTGACGTAACTCGAATCTCTGTAAATTTTTGGAATCTTTTTATTATTTTCATTTTCCCAGGTAATTTCTCTCTATCTTCTCCCCACAAGTTAAGTTCGAGAAAGCTAATGCAAATATTTGCGAACAGTACCTTCTCGATTGAATTTGTTGTAGTGCGCGGCGAACGGCGCCGTAGTCTCTATCCCAGCACGGTCAATATTGACTCTTGCTCGAGCCAAAGCCCATCGTAATAAATTATTGACTTCATAGCAGCGATACGAGAAAGATATATATATATATAGAGAGAGAGAGAGAGAGAGAGAGAAAAAGAAAGAAAAATGTGAATTTGAAAAATCTGCTATGATCTGTATTAACCGTTAAGCTTCCTCGCCTAACTTGAGTTACAAGAAGATGGTATTTGTCATGGGACATACGCGAGGAATCGTATAATACATAAATCACTCATATGGCAGGGTATTTATGTTCCTAACGCATATGGATATGTATATAATAACTTTTTCTCATCAATCATAAGAAAGTGACAATGTAAATATCGATGAACTATATATTTGGAATAATATTTAACAAATAGAGGAGTGCTGTGCATTGAACATAATCTAATCTTTTTTTTTATTACGTTTTTTATTTAATAATTTTGACGAGTTTAATGTTCAATTTGATTAGAATTTGTTTGAGTTATTTATAGAATTCTGATAGATTGAGTAGATAAAAATGAAATTGTATATTATTGTATTATAGATTGTCATATTAAATAGAAATAACAATATGATTGTCTATTTATATGAGAGTGTTAGAAGTAAAAAAGTGGTTAAAACTGAATAGAGTAAAGAAATCAAGTAATTAATTGCCTTTAGATTCGTTTAAAATCGTCTGTGATCGATAGCTCGTGTCGTTTGGCATCGTCTTGAAAAAGGGAACATGGCGATGCGGAGTTTATTTCTAGTCGTACTACTCACGTTATATTTTGGGAACTAATTTGTTCTGTTAATTGATCACCATCACAAGTAATTCAGTATTGTTATTTTTTATTTTTATCAAAATTCGTTTTAGTTTAGAACATTTTAGTTTTCTTATATTTTACAAGATCGTTTTTCGTGAACTAAGTTGTGCCAAATTATGATATACGAAGATTAATCAGAGACAAGATTAATTCCTTCTAATTACTTTGCCTGTGATATTTTATTGCGGAACGTTTAAATGAACTTTAAAATTCCAATTTGCGGTTTAAATAAAATATAATTAGTATTTACATTAAAATCCTTTTTTTTAGGGAAGAGTTCAAAGCTATACCGAGATATTCGAGTTAATGAAACTTTATGCATCAAGATTTCAAATGAAGTAAGTTTCTCGACAAATCTGTCATCTTATAATCCTAATATTTTATACACAAATTAAATTTATATTTGAATATTATATTAAATATTTAAATAAAATGAGATTCATTATTAAAAAAGATTTAAAAGCTTAATATGAAAGGATAAAGATCGATGCGTGTAAACCGAGTAAATGTGAAAATCAGCTGTTCGCGTAGCACAGAATATTGACACGATAAATAAACAATAAAAGCGAAGTATAAAATCACGTTAGGAACGAAAGTGATCGTTCCAAGATCGAGTAGGATGAATAAAACGAACATTGCGAGTACATACATACGTACATGCATAACTACATATATGCACCGCGTGCATAGTTCTTGAAAGTGAATCGAAATAAGAGACAGTAGAAAAAGAAATAAATAAAAGGATGAGGAAGAAGGGGACGCAGTGGAAATAATTCCGATGACTAAAGCAAGGTGTATTCCACTATGCTAACGATAAATTTGCTTGAGTATGTCGTAATTTAGCAGTGTGGCTTCTCGAAGGGAGACGCCATGCTTCGTGTTTTCCGTCGGTGCCTTCGGTACTCGATATTTCGTTCGCTGAAGGGGTCGCCCACGCACGAGTGCGCGTTTACACGTATGTACGCCAAGTTATTTCTCCATGTTTTTTTTCCCTTTCTTCACTTTTTGCCGACCTTCGTCTAGAAAAATGATTAAAAATAGATGTCACGAAGGAAGAACAATTGGCTTCGTTATGTAGGATGATCTAACTTTAGGACATTTTTTCTTTACTTACCGTTAGAGAAATTTAGATCGAGAAATTTTTCAGTGTTATCAAATGTGCCCATAATTATGAAAGTGGTCTAAGTTATATATCTCTTGTTTCGAGATATTTAAAGATTTATATTTGAACATTATATGAATTCTATATAATATTGAAATAACAAACATTATCTAACGATTCATTTTTGACAATATCGTGAAAATTAAATTGAATTTATTTAGTTTAAAATAATGTTGTGCGTAATAACTGATAAACTCATTTTTTATTAATTTTGACTTAGACCACTTTCTTAATTATGGGCACAAATGTATAATTTATGCATAAGTGATTCTATGTGTAAAAATAAGTAATATTTTTTAGTATATTGAACTATTTTTATAATTATTTATTAGCTAGAAAAATTTTCTTTTACTAACACTTTTCAGATCATCGTAATTCAGAAATCAGAAGGATAACATAGAATTTAGAAAAGATATTATTTAAGTAAGATTTTCTTTCCATAATTATCATAATTCGGATGATAAGAATTTGACTTTTATCGGCTTATTTTTACACGTTGAATTATCCTTATCTGGGTTTTACCACTCGTTCGGGTTTACGATAAAAATGAATAAATTACTTCGAGTAGTCCTATGATGATGAGATTCAATTCTTAGAAATTTCGTGCTTAGGGAAATAATGTTGTTTATATTCTAAGAAAGTTTTCTTATTGTTACTTATTATCTCGTTCATTAAAAATAAATGTTGACCAAATGTTGATAATTTGACAGTAACGTCGATCGTGATCCTAACTCATTATATAATAATATGAGGGTTGTAAAAAAGAGAGTGCAACGAAGTAGCTCGTAGATCCACGGGAAAGAGTTGAAAGAAAAAAAAGGAGGGTTGGTTGATGAATAAGAGTGTAAAAGAGTAAAAGTAGTAGTAGTAGTAGTAGTAGTAGTAGTAGTAGACGCTTTAGGGGTCAAACGAGAAATCGCGGCGCGAGTGCGTGTCGAGTGCGCGTAATCGTTCCTCTTTCCCTTTCAATATATGTCGAGAATACAGCTTTGGCCCTCTGTGATTTTCGTGGCTTTGCTATGACCGTACTTTTATTATTTATTATTAGCCTTTGTACAGCCTCTGTTGAAGTGGTTTCCTCTCGTCTAGAGATTTAGTTGC